TAGGATGTCAAGTTGGGAGGTAAACAAATTTGATTTCTTGGTGCCCTAATATCTCAGGTATGGAGGAAGCAGCTCAGAAAAACCATATACCTCTCATTCTTAGCAGCCCCAAATAATGGAAAATGAAGGATGGAGAATGATAACTATGTGCGATAAGCAAGCTGCTAAGAGAGATCTTAATATTTATTGTTCCTTCATCCATCACTACAGGTTGCCTAGTCTCATGAGTTGACTCCTCTCCATCCCCACTTGCCACTACCCTCACTCAGGTTGTCATCCTTCCCTGCTGTAGATTAATGCAACAGCTTCCTAACTAGAAGTCTGTCTGTCTTATCCTTCTCCAGTGCATCTTCTTATCTTTTATTATACAAATCTGATTAGCAAAGTCTTTGGTTCAAAACCTTTCAGTGGCTTCCCATAGTCTTTAAGGAACTTTAAATTCCTTAAAAAGAGCAGGCAAACAAAGCATTCACTTTACCCTGGGCCCCTCTCTTCCCTTTCCAGCCTGTGTTTCTATCTTCTCCCCTCCCTTCTCGTTCTCCCATGGCCCTCTCTGCTAGCCTTCTTTATATCCCTGGAAGGCACCAAGCCTCCTCTTCTATCTTGGCCTCAGACCAGGCTCTTCCTCTAACTGGGGCATTTTTCTTTCTATAGTCCCCAAGCCCTACCTGCCCTAGTTAATACCTCTTCCTCTTTTAGATCTTAGCTTCCTGAGGGAGATCTTCCTGATCTCTCCCAGTCAGGGAAGCCCCACTGCTTACTCACTCCCCAAAGGATAATTAACATCCTCTCTCTCTGTATCATTCATCATGTTACTATGATTCTTTGTTTGATGAGTCTCTTCCCCATTAAAATGTAAATTCCACGTATCTGAGAACTATGTCCATCCTGCTTTCTGAATTTTACCAACACCCAGGAAAGGCTTGACATACAGCAGAAACTCAGTGAATACACGGTTTTTAGTGAACATACTTTTATGACATGGTTTACCTATCTAAGGTTCTTACTGTCTTGGCAATTTTATATTTGATGACTGAAGAGAAAATAAACACACACTGTTAATTATAACACCTGGCTTGATTCAGTGATCACTTACTCTTTAAACCTTTCCTGACACATTCCTTCTGGATTGGATGCCATTCCTACACGATCTTAGAATTCTATGTTTATCTCTGTCATTCCTCACGTCTTATTCATTTGACTTCAAGGGCATGGATTGTCATGTTTATCCCTAACACATAGGCTATAGTGCTGGGTACATGGTAGGATCTCGATAATGTATTTTCGATGAATTACTGAATGAATGACTGTGTAATTACTATTACACACAGATTAAAAAAAAAAAAAAAGCTCGGTACTAGGCATGAAGGGGTTATTTCAGAGAAGAACAGACGATGTTAATTCCTGGCAAGGGCACAAGACTAGGACGTGCACAGAGCAGTCTACGTGTGTGGTGCTTCCTGGATACAGGAGAACCTGCACTGTGCAGTGCTTTACTCCAGGCACTGAGAACTGGGCCTCCAAAGACAAAGGCCACAGAGAATGAAGATAATACACAGTACTAGAAACAGATATTCTAAAGCACATAGATGACATATTTTTCTGTCTTCTCAGAAAAGCCAAACCGGCTCAGTATACCCCTGAAAATGATTCTGATTTTCTCTCATCTAGTCTACAGTCCATTTTCTATTGCAATTGCCTTTCTAAAAAGATCACAGGAGATTTGAACACCATAGACTGAAGAAATCAACCAATGTCGGTAGTGGAAAGCCCACATGTCATCTTACAGTATCTGTCATTCATGATCCTTCAAATCCACAGTCAAACCATAAGGTCAAGGTGAGACTTGTACAAACAATAAACATTAAATATATTGTTTACTTCACCTATGACATTTAAATGCAGATAGGTCAATGGTAAAGACTGCTGAGGTTGGTGATTTCTGTAGAGGTACACATGAAGCATCTGGAATCTTTGGGGTTCCCAAAAGGTTACCCTTCACCATGTAAAAGATGCCATTAAACACGGAGCTGTACAGATGTAATGACAAGGATAATTCCTGGCATAACATGTCCAAATCAGAAAAATAATGTGTGGTGCTTCTTCTACATGCTGCTTGGAGGGGCCATTGGGGGCACTCAAAACAGGCAGGTATTCTTCTACCGTGAAGAATGCAACGGACTAGAGGCAGGGGTCCATTTCAAGCCTCATTTCAAACAAAACATCTTCTTGAATGAGCTGGCCATAATGGACCCCCAGAATGTAAATGAAATACGAATGGATGCTAGCTAGCCAGGATGCCTGTGTCACAAGCTAGCCAGGAAGCCTGTGTCATAATGCTAGCTTCTATTGATAAACTGACATGTGAGCTTAACAGTCTCCCAAAGAAGCCTGTGCTTTGGCCTCTAAATATAAATCTCAGACCACAGAAAATTTCTCTAAAGGCTCAAACACTTGATAAAGTTAGGAATATTCATGGTTACAAAATTGTATAAGAGAGTGTAAAGATTTTTGAAATGTGTTGGGCGGTGGGGCAAAGGGGTGCGGGGGTGCTCAACAAGACAGCAGTTTAAAGAAATACTGTCTTGGAGACAACTGGGAAGAAACGTGGTTGGCAGGTCAAAACCGAAGAGCACTGAACAGAACAGTGGTAATGAGAGACCCCAATCACAGAAGAACAATCTGCACAAGATTCTAAAAGATTACTGATCTAGCATCCTCATTCACCATTAGCCCCTGGGCACTTAACTGAGTTTTAGGAGAAAAGATTCATTTTACAGTCACTTGATAGTGTCACTCAGGAGACCACTTAAGAATTGAAAATATTAGGCAAAACGACTCAAGGTGGGTGGGTATGTTATACATTTAAGAGCTCTTGCCAAAGGTATGTATGTGTGTGCGTGTGTGCGGGGGTGTGTGTGTGTTTGTATCGGTCAAGCCAATACAAAAAGATCACAAGGGAATAAAAGAGGTTCTGGGCCATGTTGCTCATAGAGAAAGATTATCCAAAGTGGTTTTGTAGCTACTCTTATTTATTAATTAAGAATCCATAAACATTGACATTGCATTCACTGCTTTAAGATTAAGTTAAAAATGAAATAGAGTTAGCAAATAAGAGAAAAGGGCAACAATTAAATTAAAATCAGAAAAAACTGAGGATCTACTCTCTGTTGAGTACTGTGCTAGGATGTAAAGGACAGAAAAATCAGAAGACAACTGAGGTTTTCTATGATTTACAGGGGAGATGGAAAGACAGTGAGTGTGCCACCATGCTTTTGCAGAACTCTCCTTTTGCTTCATGCCAGCCCTTACTCATCTGCCCAAACTTTTATTCTTTAAGATCTAGTTCATGTGTTATACCTTTGACAAGTCTTCCCTTATCCTACCTGTTCCCAAATGAGGCTAAGTTCCAGTTCTGTGCTAAGCACTATACATCAGTGCGTCTCTATAATGAGATACACATCCTATCCTCGTTGCTAAGATTGGGTACTCTTTTTTATTCTTACTACCCATCATAAAGCCTTGTGCTCAATGGTGGAAGAACAAAAGGATACTGTGTAATAAATAAATACATTATTAGTCTGAATAAAGTGCTAGAATATAGAAGAGGGAATGACTGGTTTTGCCTGAGAGAGGAAGTAAAGCTTCTCTGAAGAGGCGCTACCTAATCAAGGCTAAGGCCTTTCATGAGTTTTATTCTACCACATTCATAACAACTCCGTGAAATAGAGCCTATCCCCGTTTTTACAACTGAGGAATCTTAATCTCTGATAAGTGCCTTGCTCAAAGTTAATACATCTATAAAATGCCCGGAATGGCTTTCTTTTGGATGCTAAAGAATTTGGATTTTATTCTGTGGGCAATCGGGAGACATCTAATGTTTTAAGGAGGAAGATAATGTGGTCCAAAATATATTTAAATTAACTCTGGCAACAGAAGTAGAAAGTTAATTAAAGGAGAACAAACGGGTCAGGGCAGAGACTATAGATCAAATAATAATCAGTAGGTTATTCTAATGGCCTATGAAGGAGCTAAAGAGAGATGAACTGACACAGTGGCAAGGATGGTGATGAGAGAAGAAAAAAACTGGAAGCCCATTTGACAAGCAAAATTTAGAGGATTTGGTCACTGATTATGTACTGGTGAAGGGAAAAGAGCAATTACAGGTGACTATGAGTGTCTGTATCAGGTAATGAAGTTGAGTAATGGCGTTATTAACCTTGAGAAGAAATACGGGGGAAAGACAGGCTGGGGAGATGGTGAGAAAGACAACAGGGCACATTTTGTATATTTTTGAGACATCAGTGGAATATTTAAGGGTTCATATCTTTTAAGGAGATTAAAATGAAGATCTGCAACTTTGGAGTGGTCTAAGATGTGTTTGAGAGCCACTATGAAGCAGGGGATGGTCAAAACAATGAGAGTAGATGAGATTTCCCAGAAAGCATGCAAAATGAGAAGAGCAAAGAGGACCCATCCCTGCGGGCATGAACATTTGGGGAGGGGTAAGGAAAGGCAGCTTGCCTCCAGCCTCAGAAGGAGACATTAGGAAGAGAAGAGGGGAGCCAAGAGAGTTGTTTTCATGCTCATGAAGACAGGTGAGAACCAAGGCGGACAAGCTCAATGGAACCCAATGATAAGGCACAAGAGCCAGGCATAGAGAACTGATGTGTGGACACCAGATCTGTAACACCAGTGACACTACTCAACAAGACATGAAGGCGTGTGGAAATTCAAACGGTGTAATTTGAGAGATACTAGAAAAGACCATTTCTCAAATTCCTTTCACGTATTCATAGAAAGGAATCTGGTTGGCTCCTATTTTCTTCCCCAGGAACTGAAAGTATTATCAGATTTTCTTCCTTAGAAGAGAGACAAAGGAAGCATTTCTCAATGACATTTGGGGAAAGCCATGTCCTGTTGTCTGTACACAGACGATAATTTTTGTTGTTGTTGTTCAATTAATGAGTAAAGTGTAAACATGTTTGATTTAAACTTACTTTGAGACAATTCACTAGAAACTCTCAGGAAAGCAGGGGCCTCTTAAATGGTGGTGGCTCCAGGAAGCACTAGGTGGGACTTCTGTGAAGATACAGTAATTTTCAGAAATTTTTCAATATTTCCATGTGTATTAATGCCAGTCTCTCATACTGTTATTTCACTTTTATTATCTTAAGAATATTGGCCAGGCAGTGACATATAAAGCTGAACACATATTTATGCTACTACCCAGCAATCCCACTCCTAGGTACTTATCCAGCAAAATAAAAACTGCTGTTTATTAAAAAGAATAAACCTGCGTGTGAATGCTTATTATAGTAGCTTTGGTAATATTTGCCCAAATTATAAACAACCCAGATGTCTCTCAACGGGAGGATAGGTAAACAAACTGTGGTATATCCATCCAGTAGAATACTAAGCAACAGAAACAAATGAACTAGTGATACACACCACGGTATTGATAAGTCTCAGTGTATTGTAGCAAGCGAAAGCAGACAGACTCCACAATTCCATTTATATGACATTCTGGAAAAAGCAAAACTAAAGGGACAGAAAAGATATCAGTGGTCCCGGAGACGGGAGGTAATGAGAAGAGTTAACAAGAAAGGGAAGCCAGGGGAAAGTATTTTTTCATGTGATGGAACTTTAATTTTACGTCTTGACTGTGGCGGTGTTTACACAGCTGTGTGCATTTGTCAAAACCTGCAGAACTGTATACCACAAACGGTGAATTTTACTGTATGGAAATTATACCTTAATTAAAAATAATGAAAAAAAGAATACTCATCTGGAAATTAGAACTGGGATCCAGTCTCAGCTACGCCACTAACTTAGTGTGTAACCGTGGACTATCCTCTAATCCTCTTTGGGTCTCGGTGCCCAAATGTGTAAAATGAGACTGGGGAATTTCTCAGAGTCTGTTGCTGGGTTCCATAAAGACTTCCCTTTTTAAGTTAGTGGTGGACCAGATGGCCCGTTTCAATTCAGATGGACTACTTCAGTTGCTGAAATATCACTGTGGGGGGACCGGACTAAAATACTCAGTCTGTACACATGGTTCTGAAGTCCTCTTGGATTGGAAAGTAGTGTTTCTAATTTGTGTTGTTCCAAAAGATGGAGCTTTGGGAAAAGTCCATCTGGTCATGCAATCGCAATTAAAATTTGACACATGTATTTGGACAATGTGGAAAAAGTCTTTTGGGAAACTCTGATGTTTAATGAGCTATAACGGGCCTTGGTAAACAATCATGCTCTTTTTTTTTTCCTTTCTTTTTTCCACTTTGTAGGCACTAATTAAAAAGGCAGTTGAAGATGGAGGTATTTACTACCTTCATCTGCTTTATCCTCCAGTGGGAACACAGCTTTCTACAGCATGAATCTACCCAAACCTCACAGTTGCTGTTATATTTTTATACTATCCATGTTATTTGTAGCCAAGAAAGGCGTGGAAAAGGAGCCGGAATGGCTCCATATGATAGTGTCCCTGGGTTTGGGGAAAACATGTATAGCTTAAAAGGAAAGACACTAAAAATAAAAACAATAATCTTGATAAAAATGACATTAACACCTTACATTTTTAACCTTGCAAAGTAGGGGTCCACAACTATGCCCAGCGATTGTGTTCATAAATAAAGTTTTATTAGAACATTGCTACGTCCAATTCATTTAGGATTGTTTGTGGTTGCTTTCGCACAGGATGACCCACGAAGACTAAAATACTTACTATCTGCTGCTTTACAGAAAGAGTCTGCCAACCCACTTTCACAGACTATGCCATGAACTGATGTATGGCTTCCACATAAAACCTCATTTAATCATCTTAGCAACGCCATGAAATAGGAATTATTACCCCCACTTGACAAATCAGAGGTGGTAAAGTACAATGAAAAGTTTGCTGGGGAGTCAGACAGACCTGTATTATGCTTTTTACTAGACGTCTGACTTTTTGTCTATTACTTAAATTCTCCATTCTCAGTTTCCCCATATGTAAATTGGGGCTAACAACAGTACCGATTTTGGTAGGGTAAATGTCATAAGTTGGTGTGACAATAAGTGCAGTGCTTTGTATACAGGAAACACTTAATACTCATTAGCTATGAGAAAAGCTTTTAGTATCCCTGGGGTGTTTTTCTTCCTAGAAAGTTGTCATTAGCATTAATAAAATGCTAAGGATGCCCTTCATCTGCTTGGTTATAGATTAATTTGAAGGATCTCAAAATAGTTTGCACCACTGCTCTATGTTAAATAAGGCAACTTTCTCTCCATCTCTCGTGAATCGAGCAAAAGTAAAGTATAATAATGACGCTTCTAGCTCTGCAATGAATTTCCTAGGAGCCAACTGGAGGTGCCATGACGAGGTGGAGTTTCCTACAAGAACGCGCAAGCAAGCCAGCCCACCAGATCAACATCCTTACTGTGCCTCGGACGGGACATAGAAGACCAAAAGACCGTGTGGCAGAAGGAACCACTTCAAAAGCACCAAAGGAAATGGCATTAAAGCAACATTGATTATGTTGCTTGCAAATGTCATGTAGTTACAGGGCCAATGTGAATAAAAGCAGGGAAATCAAAGGCCAGGATTTCACCTGAAGGACATCTCTGGCTTCAGATGATGAGCTGTTTCAAGATGAGCAATTTCTGTCATGTTTCATTGATGGTGCCTATAAACTAATATATTTACTATGCATCCACCATACACATTTTTAAAAAGCCTTACAGTTCTTGTCTTTTGGTCGGCACCCAGAAGGAGGAGAGCAAGTAAAAGGAGGGCAAATATTTAATTTTACTTGTGTTCGCATAACTCGCAGTGGCTAGGACCAGCTCCCCGAGTCCATTTATCACTGTCTTGGTCCTATTATTGTCCTCGGGCTCCTGACCAAATGGGTGAAAATGACTGGTGCAAAATCAAAAGCATAGAAGAAGTTTTAAAACAGCAGTCAAAAGCTGGGAAAGTAGGCTTAATTGTCTGTTATTTCATTTCCACTAGAAACATGGAAGAATGAGCTTTCAGATGGGCACGTCTGATTTGGAGATCTGATTACAAACGGATGCAACTGATTTGATGTGTGTATGTGCTTCATGTCTACATCCAAAAGAATGCTGTTCACTTGTGAGAAAATCTTTAGAGTCCATTCATTTGTTTCATTTGGAGCTGATTTCTAAATTTGTGGCAGGTTCTTCTGAATGCTCCCAGTGGTGGCGAGACTTCATATTTTGAGGGTTCCTCTTTGGAAATGGTGGCCGAATATTTAGCTCTAGATATTATAAATAAAGTGGGTAATCAAGCATGGTGAAACATGGTGAGTCAACAATAAAGCTTGGAAAAAACAAATAACCCAAATGAAAAATAAGCTAAGGATATGAATACATTTTTTCCCCACAAAGAACATAAACAAGTGGTCAATAACCACAATGAAAATGTGCTCAACCTCATTAGTCATCAGAGAAATGCAAATCAAAAGCAGAGTGATATACCACCTCATACATATTAGAATGGTTATAATAAAAAAGACAATAACAAATGTTGGCGAAGGGGTGGAGAAACTGGAACCCTCATGCATTGCTTACTGGAACGTAAAATGGTACAGCTGCTTTGGAATACAGTCTGGTACCTCCTCGAATGGTTACTGATGGAGTTATCATATGACTCAGCAATTCCACTCCTAGGTATTTACTCAAGAAAAATAAACAGATCCACATAAGAACTCACACGCAAATGTTGAAAATGGCCTTACTGATAAGAGCCAAGATTCAGAAACAATCCAAATATCCATCAACTAATGCGTGGATAAATAAAATGTTATAATCCTATAATGGAATATTGTTTGGCAATAAAGAGAAATGAAACGCTGACACACGCTTACTACATGGGTAAACTGGGAAAACATTACCCTAAGCACAAGTAGCCAATCTCAAAAGACCACATGTTGGAGGATTCTATTTATAGAAAGAGTCCAGAACAGGCGAACAGACAGAAAGTAGATGAGAAGTCTCCAAGGGCTGGTGGTTGGGGGTGTTGGGAGGAAATGAAGAATGACTGCTAATGAGTGATTTTTTTCTTTTTAATCGAGGTAACATTGGTTTATAACATTATGTAAGTTTCCAGTATACATTATAATTCAATATCTGTGTATAGAATATAGCATGCTCACCACCAAAAGTCTAGCTTCCACCCTTCAATTCTTATTATAGCAAAGCTAGACCTAAATATTTTAAGGCAACACTAGTTGTCTTTAGAATTTCTATTATCAGTCAAAAAAAAAAAAGAAAAACGTACCAATTTTTTTTGTTTTATGTTTTACAATGAAACCATCTTTTCAATAAGGGCATGGATTTTCTAAATGCTGTCTGACATAAAATGAATTTGAATATTAACATGTAAAGGGCAAGCAATAAAAAAAAAAGGTAATGTGAGTGCAGACAAAATATCCAAGTGCGAGAGAACATGACCTCTTCAAAAGGGAATGGAATGAAAGAATTCAAGATGCACAGGTTTTCAAAGCTAAAGAAAGTGACAACAACTGAATTGAAAAGGCTGAACTTAGCATTACCTTCCAGAACACAAACATATATTTAGCTTAATAGACTTGAGAACTATCTCAGGAAAAATCTTATATATTATGCATCTAGGGCAATGAAAGCTGGAGAAAATTATTTTGCAAAGCAAACACACTGCAGGCTGACAGTGGTAGAGATAAAAAAGAGTCTAAGGCACACGTGTTAAATTTAGGTCTCGTTTTTTACACATCATCACAGGAGGAAAACAAAAGAGCGGAGGGAACCTCAGACACTAACGAAAACCTGGCACAATGACGCTTGTGATTGAACCTTAAAAAATGTGCGTGTATTTTTTGGTTATAACCGTAATATGGATTTATACTAGGAAACTTGGAAAATATAGAAAAATATAAAGAAAAAAATAAAATCGCCCACAATCCTATCACCCAGAAAGAACCATTATCAAAATATTGGCATATTCATTTGCAGTCCTTTTTCTATGTACATATATGATTTTTTATAAAATTAGGTTCATATTATAAATAAAACTTTATACATGGCCTTTCCCCCATACTTCCTATCACTTCCTGAGTAGTTTCTCATGTTGTTATACATTCTTTGAAGAAGTAATGTTAATTACTGCTTTATACTGGATCTTATGAATTTAAGCGGAACCATTAGATTCTTTCCACATTGCTGGACCTCTAGGTTGTTTCTAATTTTTCAGTTTTATAAATAGCACTGTGTTAGACTTTCCTGTGATAAATCTTTGACTCTCTATTTACTTCTTAAAGGAAACTTAACATATATCAATATGTCAAATTCAAATTCAAATCCCTCAGTGTACCCATACCTATAAATTTACCGTTGGAAGTCTCTGGAGACAAGTGCAAATAATGCATAACAAATAAACAATTCTATTTTCATACTTGAAGCCTATATGTATCCTTCTGGAGCAGTCATCTCTCAGGCAGTACATTACTACCTCTAGGCAAATGGACTATTACTGAGTTAATCTAAATGCAATAACATGAAACTTGGCTGACACAGATTCCCCAATATCAGTATGCATGCAATTACAATACTTTAGATTGAAAGATACTCTAGGCTCTCAAAATTACATATTTTATCCACCTTTCATTTAACACATACAATGAGCATTAAAATAAAATAAATAAAGGGTTATAGCCAATGGAAGTTGATAGCAACCAAATCTTATGTAGACATACAAGTTCCAGATAGTGCAAATTAAGGTTTGCTTCAAATTCCAGCTTTATGCTGTCACTTTCAGTTAAAAGACTCTTAAGGGCTCTCAACATATTGAAGTTATTAACGATTCTTGTTTAGAATTATATGGTCTTAATATTCCAGCCTTAAATTCCCTATCGTCCATTTTTTAAAATGGTTTTATTTCCAAGATTCTAAATAGGGTTCTCACAAACTCTGAAATGTGTATGTGTGTACGTGTGTGTGTGTACATATCCATATACCTATAAAATGGTTTTCTCCCATTAGTCAGAGACAAGCAAAGTAAAACATAACAAAAATCCCACTTATAATCCCTGGTCATATGACTATAGAATCATTCAAATTCCAAGGCCTCCCCCAAACTGGTAGTCAGACTAAGTTGGCATGGGCTGCACGGAACAGTTGTGCAGACTGTACACTGTATAACTGTATGGGGTACAACTGTATTCTGATCTTTGTGACTGGTACTCTCTGGGATTGTGCAATACACAACCTATATAGCTGTATGTGATGACCTTGAAATTACCTCAGATAATTCTGTGTGCCCATCCATTATGTATTTTTGCATCCTTCCCCATAGTGAGCTGTGAAAAAGAGAAGTTTTAGGAAGGAAGTGGCCTTTAAGTCTATAGACATTTTAAATGAAGGAAATGCTGCATACAATTTCTCCCTGGCTCCACTTTCCACTGGCGGTAAGTTTCTTCCCTCCAGCCTCCCCTTCCGTCCACCCACTAGGACGCGGCGGGGTACCTTGTGTGAGTAACTGTAGGTTTCTGACTTCTTCCCGCACCTTCAGCTGGAGCACCTGTTGTAAGATGTGCTGCCGGAGGTTCTCCTGGGCAATCCCCATTCGCTCAAGCTTTTTGTCGGTAAGTCTCAGCAGGGCTCGCCCTGCAGGGTGTCAAGAAATAAAAAGAAAAGCAAGTGAACAAGGGCTGGAGCAGGATTTCCATCTTAGCCTTGGCTAATTCTGCTATAACAGAAGTTTCGATTTAAACACAAACCCTTTAGAATACAGGTCTCCCGTTATTCTGGCTGACAGGAATGGATGATCTGGATAAAAAAAAAATTGGCAAATTTAAAAAGAACCCCAATTTTTATCTAATATTGGCAATCCCCAACTGACCTGCAATTGAGTTAAATAAAACAGCAACATTTTAACCAGGGTATTCGGGTAACAGATTGAACGTTTCCATAGAAACAATGCTCTTCGTCGTAGGATAGGTTCTGAGGCTATCCCACAGGAGCCCATGTCACTGACAACCCAGCTGAAGACCTGGATGCTCTAACTCAGGGGTCTCCAACCCTGGTACCGGTCCATGACCTGTTAGGAACTGGGCCGCACAGCAGATGAGCGGTGGGCGAGTGAGTGAAGCTTCACCTGTATTTGCAGCTGCTCCACCTCAGATCAGCAGGCATTGGATTCTCATCGGAGCACTGGTCCCTGTGGCCAAAAAGGCTGGGGACCGCTGCTCTAACTGGTTATACAGAAACTCCAACAATGTTTAACCCAGGTTACAATCATGTTTCTGTGAATATTTATTTAAAGTTCCAGTTTTAATCTGCAGCATCCAACTCCCCTGCTGCACCGTCGGTGCTGGGCTGGAGTTTCATTTCCAGCCGATGGGGCTATGCTTTCATCCCAATCACTGGCCTGCAGCAGGGGTTCCAGCAGGGATGAGGGTGAAAGGAACAGGTGAGCAAGGACATCTAAAGACTGCAAAACAAGGAGCCTGAGGGTGTGAGTGCTTGAAGCGTGCAGACACCCTGAGCCCTGGGCGGCCTGGCACGGTTTCCTTTCAGCCCCTTCCTTTCCCTGGGAAGTCTGAAAACTTCCCTTGCTACTGTGGTTTCCACCAAATCCCCAAATTCTCCTCTCTGTGCTTGCCCTGAAATAAGCATACCTGCATTGTGAGAGTTCAGCGCAAGAAAGAAAGAAAGAGAATGATCATTGTTAAATGCTCACAGCACCACCCGATGCTCTCGCCCCCAACATGCCCGTCATCACACCTGCAGATCGTTTCTTTTTGATTGATGTAGAATACACAGAGCCAAATACGTGTGATCCATGGTAAGTCTTTGGGTAGAACGGTATATACACTTCAGAAAATAAATGATCTACTACAAAAAAGACACTCAGTGGAGCTAGAAGGTGGGGTTACTGAGCATCTTATGGACAAGATCTGATTCACTATCTTCCTTGGATGGTTTCTACAGTGGCACCTAAGTCTGTGGTTCAGAAAAATCTTATTATTTTCAGGAGCAAATGTCCCATTAACCCCTTATCCCAGCCCCTCCTGCTGACCACCAATTAAAAATGTCCAAATAACTGTGGTGCTACTTTTGATGCAGGTATCAGAAAGCAACAAGTAGCCAATTATCAATCGTATCCCTTTTTTTTTTTTTGCAATTTATATTGGCACTTTTTGTTGCTTATAAAAACTCAACTGTTAATTCAACAAACATTTATTGAGCACTTACTATATAGCTTAACTCACTGTGCTCTGCAGTCAGCTGCCTACACAGGGAGGGAAAAATCAATTCGACCTCAACAAAAAAGCACCAACTACATTTCTTGATACTCTAAACTGGTTTAAAATAATATTCAGGTGATCCAGAATGCTGGGCCATTCATAGACTCGTAGATTCTTGGAGTTGAAAGAAGCTTAAAGTCCTTCGCCTGGATTGTATTTCTTCATCTCTTTTCTTTATCAAGTGTTTATTGAGCACCATTAAATGCCTGACAGTATTCTGGGTGCTGGGGCTATGAAGACAAGTAGTGTCTTCTGTCTTCACAGAGTTCACCATTTAGTCTGAGAAGCAGATAAAACACAAATAAACTGATATGCAGGGGGCACACAGGGACCCCGTACTGGAAGAATGGAGCTACTGGAGTTTGGGTGGTTAGGAAAGGCCTCTCAGAAAACGAGACACTGGAACATCTAGAAGTACCGAGGTAATTAGAGAAATGGCGGGAAAGCTAGTGTCATCAGGGCAGAGTAGAAAAGATAAGAAAATGACAGGAGATGAGGTCCAAAAAAAGGCAGGAGCCAGATCATACAGGGCCTCCTAGGCCTCGGTAAAGACTCTGAATTTTATTTTGAATGCAGGAAGTTTCAAGCAAGTGATGACTAGGGTATAATCTCAATGTAGTAAAAGAATATCCCTGGTCACTATGTGAGAGTTGATTAGGGATAGGGAGGTGAATGTAGAAGCCAATGAGAAGAATCAGCATACTGAATGGCAGCCCAAACAGGGAATGATGGTGCCATGGACAAGGGTGTAGGCGAAGCAGTAGAAGGTAGTAGTAGAATTCTGGATAGATTTCGAATGACTTTAGGATGCCTAGAAGTGGAGTATAAAGGAAAAACAGATATGGAAATGACTCGGGTTTTCAGCCTGAGCCACCAATGGCTGGGGGCATCATTTCAACACAGGAAGTTGGATCACCACTCCAAGCAAGGATATGTCAGAGGGAGGAAGTCATGATAGTGTTACTGATATTTTTTTCTTCTGAGAGCACTTGGGATCTGGAGAAGTAGTGGGAAGGCGGACCAGCAGAATATTCTTATTTCTTCCCTATAGTGCTTTCATTCCTTCAAAACTCTCTCCAAATCCGAAAGCTCTGAGTTGACTAGAGGGGTAAGGTGAGCGCAGGCATATCCTGGAGGAATTTTGAGAAATAAGAAATAGTCTGCGAGGAAGTTCACCCAGGAGAAGGGAGGATCTGATGCCCTGCTACCAATCTTGGAAGACTAGAGTGTTGCTGCAATTGAAGCTTGAGTACATACATAAAAGCTTTATTGTGCGGGGTCCAGCTCCATAAGAATAAGTATCTTTCCTGTCAGGGTCCCTATGGTCACGTGTACTCTATGGTCGCCTATGTGCTAGCATATAGTAATATTCAAGAAATACTTATTGAATGAATACGCTTGGTGCTATAATAAATGTTGTGTTCCTTACTCACATATCGATGATCTCAAGGTCATTAAATCCCTTTCTTTTCTGATGTAAGATACGTGGTTGGAAAGTGACTCTCAGTTAAGACACCAGTGATGGCACCAATGAGAAACTGTATGTAGCAGAGGCAGGAGGCTACATTTTGTTGCTGGTGACCACAAAAACACATGCCAAGTGAAAGGAATAGAGAACTTAAGACCAAATGAGTACTTCGCCTTCCTGCAGGCATAAAGAAAGACAAGTGTCTTATTCTGTTTTTGAACAGGCACCAAGTGAGACTTCAAACCTTGCTGAACAGATGGGTAGCAAGTACGGGCGACAGAAAATTGACTCAGAAAGTAGTGTATTCATTTCCCATGGTTGCCATAACAAATTACAAACATGGGGACTGAAAACAACAGAAATGTATTCCATACAGTTCTGGAAGCCAGAGTTCAACATCGGTTTCATTGGGTTGAAATCAAGATGTCAGCAGGGTCACAGTTCCTCTGGAGGCTGCAGGGAAGAATCCCTTCTGGAAACTTCCAGCTTTTGTGACATAATTCTACTCTCTGCCTCTGTCTTCACATCACCTTCTCTCCTATGTGTGTAATCTCACTCTGCCTCTCTCTTATAAGAAGACTTGTGAGTTGATTTTGGGGCCACTTAAATAATCCAGGATAACCTCTTCAACTGAGGATCCTTAACTTGATGACATCTGCGAAGACCCCTTTTCCTTATAAGGTAACATTTACAGTATCCAGGGGGTTAGGAACTGTTATCTTTGGGTGGCCATTATTCAGTCTACTATAAGCTAGAAGGAACCTCTGAGATTTCTGAGTGTAGCATGGGATTCACCTGAGTATAGCACTTCTCCATAGCATAAAGAAGTAAGGCTCAGGGAAAGTGACTTATTTAAAACCACTCAGGTAATAGGGGGAAGGCTTAGTTCTAGACACATGTCATTGACCTTCAGGATCAATCAGTCTTTAGTCTTTAGCTCAGGTTCCCCCCATTTTCTGCTTAGAGGATTGTCACAGAAGCCCTGTCACAGCTTTTGAAAAGGAATGATCGTATGTCCTAAGGCACAATTGGAAATATCAGGATCTGCTGGAGGGAGACAAAGGGTGTGGCTTTAGCCCCGACCCTACAGAGAAGTGTTGGTGCCACTGCAAGTAGTTGGGAGTCCACCCTTCCTAGAGAAGCAGCTAAATAAAAGGGCCTCACGTACAATGGATGGCAGGCGGCCAGTGTTGGCCCATGCTGCAGTCTTTCTTGAAGAACATTCAGAGGTCTGCGGGCCCCACGTGGATGGCGGGTGGCGGCTGGCCTCAGTGTGCCCTGAGCCTTTTGCTGAGTGGTCCTAGGCTCAGCATTGGTGGCAAATCGGAATCTGCATCAACCTGGTGAACACCATTCGCTCCACCTAGTTGACTTCCTGAGACCCCACCTCACCCAATTCGCCTACTGCCCAAGGATCTTTCAGCAGCTGAGCCTTATGGGCAGCCGGCAGGTGGCCTTGGGCTTTTTGCTGAGCTTCTCCAGGCCTAGTTCTGGTGGTGGCTGGCCTTGGTTCCCCGCATGGTCTCCCTTACATGGCTCTAGGTCCAGCACAGGCAGCGACCAACTTGCAAATTGCTTTGTAGCTCCTATGAGGTAGCTCGGGGTGGTAACAGGCAGTGGCTGACCTTGGCCTGCATGGAAGGCCTTCCCCAGGGGCCCCAGAACCAACACACCTGGCAGTCGACTTCAGAACATAACAGAGCACCACTCAATTAGCCCCATAAGTGATACATCTAAAGGGTGTTCTGGGCAGGCATCAGAGCCTGCTGCGGCAAATCCCTCTCCATGGGGCCAGCCCCCACATGGCAGCTCATGCCCTGTGGCTGTGGCTAATCTGCATAGCCAGTGAGCCGGAGAGTCAATCTCACCCACTGACAATCAAGGCTCAA